ATAGAAGGCCCAATAGAGTCTATATGGCTGAGTATCAAAGTAAGGAATAAGCTTGATCTATCAAGCTGAAACTTATAAGAGTGACTACTGACTCTGAGCACTATAATTGCTGAAAGTTTCATGTGAAACTGCTTATGTTTTCTGTAGAGGTCGATATCAAGGCAAAACGTCCCCGCTCTTTTCTTGATAGCTTACTATTTTTTCTACCTTTATTGTATATCACACTCTTGTTATAAAGAACACTATGCCTCACAGAAAAATTAAAAATTGATTCGGTTTCTTGTTCTGCGCCGAACAGATAAATGAAAGTCTGGCAAGACATCCATCTTGTAGAGAAAACAATTCTCCATAAACTTATATTTCCAGAAAAAAATTATATGTGTGCAAACAATGACAAAATTGAAGAGAAAGAGTTTGCCTGTGGGCTAAGAAATGGAAAATTCGTTTTCTTACTCATGCTTCAATATTAACCAGTGTCATAAAATACGTTACGAGTCATGGTTTGCAATATTCCTTCGAGTGGTGTATTTAAAGTTAAAAATTGGTGTAGCAGAAAGTTTTCTAGTGAATGCTTTCTAGGAAACCACAAAGCTTCTAGAATTTTGAAGATTTAAGATTGTCATCGAAAAGTTTTCATCTCAAAATGAGTTCAAATTGAAGGGATTTGTTTTACCTTTCTGATACTATGCATTAGAAGAAATTTGAGTACAAAGTTTGCCTGTAAGAGATTCAGAAGACTAGTCCTATCAATAATTTTTGATGTATGAAACTCAGAGATTTTAGTAGCTATCTTTCTACATATTTGAAAGTATCTAGAAGCTTGAGTTTTAGAAGACTAGTGCAACCCACTCGTGACTTTGAAATGGGGGGGAAATCGAAACTTTTTTATCGGCTTCTGTTCCTATATTATAAGAAACAATGAAACATCACAGCGTACACCCGTATCAATAATTTTTCGAATGACTGTACTAGGAACGTACTGAGACTCGTTGAATGCTATGTTGTTTTTCGAATGGAACTTTAGTCGACAGACTTTTCGTCGAAGTAACTTTGCCGAAAAATTTTTGTCGGAATTTTTTTGTAGAAAAGCATTTCATCGAAAGTGAATTATTTTCTTCTTCTTATTTATCTCACCGTCAGGAGACACGTTCAAAAGTATCTTCTAATTAACTTTGTTCCTTTGGAGACTATGGAAGAATTACAAGGCATCATTAAATAGAACTACATGTTTTTCGTCGAAAAGCACTTCAAGGAAAGATTCGCAGCTCCTCAAGACAATTTCGGATCCTTTGATTCTTCTACAGAACTGTTCAGAGTTAAGAGGGCAATATTTTCTCTCACACTCACGTTTGTAGTGCCCTTGCCCTCACCCTTACCTTCACCCTCACATTTGGAATGCCTTACATGGCTCTTGTCTTCACCGTCATGCTCACCCTCATCCACCCTTGCCATCACCTCCGCATTTGGGTACCCCTGCATGGCCCTTATCCTCACTCTCACGCTCATCTCACCTTTACATTTGATGTGCTCTTCATAGCCAAGAAAATACTTTCGACGAAAAACAGATGTCTATCTGAATTTATTGATGAAGCCCTTTGTCGGCGAAGCGTCATGTTGACAAAAATTTTTCGACCAACAACATAATTATTGAACTTATTAAAGGCTGATAATAATTAAAATTCTTTTCTAATACAAGTACCCATGAGAATGTACGAGATTTTGATTGCAAATGGTTCAGTTTTGTCTGAGCTAGCTATTAATACAATCGGACAAACCGATCTGAACAAAAAGAGCTCGAGTCTCGGTAAGTCTTGATAAACAATTTTTAAAAAAGATCAATATCGACCAAGACTTACCGAGACTCGGCTTCTTTTTGCTCGCATCAGTTCGTCTCGTTGTATGAATAGCTAGCGGAGACAAAACTGAGCAGTTTGTAATCAAAGTCTCGTAGAGTCTCAGGAGTTCTTGTATCAGAAAAAAAAATAAATTTTTTGCACCTACTATTGAGTCTCTGTACATTACTAGAGTGTGCATCTCAAGATCGATTGTAATATTTTTGTCTCGTAATTGAAATGACTATATGTCCAAATGATCATTTCCTATAGCATTAAAATTATTTGTTTATTTTCAAGCTTATTGACTTAAAAGTTAGAACACTGATCAGAATACGTTTGAATATTTATCAGACATGGCATCGCCCATAGAAATGATCCAGAAAGCATCGGCTCCAGATGAGTATATCTGGGAATATCAGGCGTGTGCTGATCCATGGGATACAACACAAATAGCTGAGTGGACACCTTATCCTGATGATACATCATCAGCCATCGAAAAAGCTTACAAACGCGGCGCTGAAGAGACATTTATTAATGAAATTTATCGTATCGATTTGAAACACTTTGTACAACAGCATATTGATGACCGGAGCCGACAACGACCCATTCGACGACAACATCGTTTTCCTTCGCATATTTCCAGTGACGTAGAGACCAGAAACGAATGTCGACGTCGTGAACGATTATCTTTTCCTTTGGGATTGGTTTCATCTCGTAATACAAGTGTAGATACAAATTTTCATGGTTCATCATTTATTACCGATTGGCTATTGGAATTCACCAAGGGAAAACTGAAAGTTACATTCGATTCTATCTTTCCTGTCCTTGTACAAGGTTTGAAGCATGAGGGACAGACTGAACCAGAAAATATACTGCATGAGATCGTACAAAGTTTGAACGTGGTCAATGATGAAACTTTTGGGAAGAAAGACAAGAAGAGAATAGAGAAGCTACAAGATTGTTGTGTTAAACTTTACACAAAAGACTGTTATATCTATCGTGTAGTTAATACTGCATTACGCGACGATGATCGAACTAAACTGGACACTCTTGGACCTTACTGTTATCTCGTTTACAATAGTATTGGTCGACGTCTTAAAGATTATCTTTCCATTCGTCATCGTCTTCGACAAGCTGTTCATCCAACAGAATCTCAGTCGATGATAGTCTATCGCGGCGATCATATATCTCGTGAAATTATAGAAGAATATCGACAGGCAGCTGGAAACAATAACCAATATTTTAAATGGCTTTCATTCGTTTCGACTTCACTCAGTCGAGACGTTGCCGAAAGCTTCGGATGCAATGTTTTGTATATTATTGAATTACAACGTCATTTGACTAACGATCAATTTACAAATTTACGGAGAAACAGTTTCATTGAGGACGAAGAAGAGATTGTATTACGACCAGGAATGAGATTTCGAGTGGACAAAGTGGAATTTGATGATTTGACTGGACGACAATTAGTTTATATTAAAATTGTCCCATCATACGTATTCAATTTAAGATGACTAAACGGTTTTATTTAAAAAACTAAATATGAACACACAAAACCAATTTTAAATAATTTGAAAGCATTGTATACATAGTAAGCTATTTTGACAGGTGATCAATCAGTTCAAATCAATTTAAATAAAGTAAGATGATCCTATATTTTTGGCTGTGGGCGTGGGATATGGCTAGGGGTGTCAATTTACATTTACTTTTAACTTAATTTAGGCGTAAATTAAATTATCAGTAATTTATATTTATTATAAATGTAAATTACTGATAATTTATATTTATTTTATATATAAATTTTTTACTTTTCGTAATTTATCGAATATAAATTAAAATAAATTATCATATTTCTGTAAGATACTTTACATAAGAAATATCCTAGTCTTAATATCATTCTTATGTATAATTCATTTGTTGTACTATCTTTTCATTCAATTAATAGTCCTTAATTTCTGAAAAGATTTCGCTATTTATCATGATTAGTTTTTCAAAGAAGAGTCAAATTAGACTTTACGGACTAGAAAAATAGAGAACGCCACAAAGTGTCAACGAAAAGCTTAAAACATTTTTCGCGAACTACATCCCTATTAGAAATCACATATTATTTTTGATCAAATGTAGTTAGGACTTTTAGATGCAAAAGTAGGTTTTTTTCTACATGGCAGAGTTTTATTCCAATCTAGTCAAGTGACGAATTAATGCTCAGTGTCGGCTATTTTCAAGGCTTTACCCTAGAGATAATGGCAAACAAATTTTTTAGACAACCAGAAACTGATTTCAGATGAGGTAAATTAACAGTGTTCATCATTTTATCATGAAAAAATTCTCCCTATTGTCTATGTGAATTTTCGCATTGATAAATTAATTCGAAATACGAAGTAAACAGTCAAGATGAATGTATAAACTGCCAGTTAATCTTATTGGTATCTTGATAGCTTTTCGAACAGCAAAAATATTATAATTTTCCCATTTTGTTATCAAAATGGAAAACATATATATTGGTGAAGAAGATATGCGCTGTCGATTAACTTCTATGATATGAATTTTCTATCAAATATATATCTTCTTGCGAAATCAGCAATATGCACCAGAGATGAGCGGAGCGGCTAAAAAGGCGCTCTGCCACAGTGTACTAGATTTTTATCTGTCCCGCCATCGTGCGGCTTTGTACCGCATCGCCTGCCAACAGCATATTTTTGAGAGACCATGATTTTGTAGTCATCCCTCGTAAATACTTTTTTATTTCATGATATGACATTAAATAATTTCAGTACATATAAATAAGAAGCATGCGTCTGGATGTGAATGCGGGAGGAGTGTCCAAGCATTGAGAAACAGTAATTCCTCATCAGTTTTCCTGCAGTTCAGTGAATGTGAAAGCTAAAAATGTACGATATTGACGATACTTTTTTCTCTGATACTCATTTTTACTTGAAAAAGTGTGAAAGAAATAATTACATGTACAGATTGTTTTAAAAAAAGCATAACCGTGACTTTCATGAATCGTGTGACTGTGAGGCAACCAATGGTCAATGTCAATTTCCCTGAAGAATTACCACAGCGACACTAACCATTTCTCGATAGATTAAGAATTTCTATTTTTCAGCCCTTGGATACTATTGTCACCCGCAGAAGAAGTGAGCAATTCTCCAAATTTTGAGATATATGGCAGTACTCTCTGGAAAAAAATTTAGCAGTTTCAATGCACGGGGAAACTGCGAAATCTGGTGGTGCACCATCACCATCCCGCCTGCTCATCTCTGATATGCACCACAAAATTCTCGTTAGTAATACGGTTTCTGCAATGAAAGTACTGATAGGTGCAATTTCGCTGGCCTTCAAATTACATATATAGGGTGTTATAAAACCATTAGGGCCCACTCTACAACTTAAAGTATAAATGATATCATAAAGTATTTTATATCAAATTAATGCTCATCAAAAACTAAATGTATAAGTGTAATTAGAGCAATTATTGCCTATGAAGAGTTATTGTAACTGCTTGAAATACATGTCAAAAAGAACTCGTACTT